TGATTCAGCATGACAAATTAAGTCTAGAAATGTGTTCGAATCGACTCTAGATCTAAAACTGTATTGGTGATGGTGCATCGAATCTCGTCGAGTGCACCACGTACAGGTAAATTTTGTAAACCTGTCTACTTTTTCTACGTAAATGATAGAGGTAAATATTTTATTTCATTCGACTGATCACATCACCACTTACAAAGTTACAGAGCACTTTTTTTTGTTTTTTTCCTATGTTGAGAAATGTCGTTTTTACTAAATTTTGATCAAAATAGTTAGGTTTCTGCCGGTAATTCTCAATTTTCTTCATCCAAAATTAGATCTTATGTAATAAAAATACTATATTCGGAATCAGCGTAAAAAACTGAGTCGACTAATGTGTGTTTCCCTACTTTTCGTCAACTTCGATTTTTTGGCAAAATTTTTAGCCATCGTAACAGGAGAAAATACGAAAATGAAATAAAATATTTGCCTCTATCATTTACGTAGAAAAAGTAGATAGATTTACAAAATCGATCTATTCGTGGTGCACTCGACGAGATTCAATGCGTCATCATCAATACAGTTTTGGATCTGAAGTCGATTCGAAAACATTTCTAGATTCAATTTGTCATGCTGAATCAGAAAAAAATAGTTTCAAAATCAAAAATATGGGACAAAGTCAAAAATTTTGTACATTTCGCGAAAGGATGCATTTTTCTCGAAAAACGATACTTCTCGAATATTTCGTTTTTTTCGACTGGAAAGGAATTTTTGCTAAGACTAAAAAATAGATATTCGTGATCAGCAGCTAAAATTCTATCAAATGATGTGAAAAAAAGGCAAAAAAAAAATTTTACTCGAAATTTGCATTGTCGGCACCTTATAAACCATAAGGTTTTTAATCAATTTTTATTTCATTTATTTAGTTATGGAGTTGTTTTCATTAACAAGGAATACAACAGTAACAGACATAAAATGGCAAGCATATCCAATTGGCTTTTTCCTATTACTGTTATGTCTGTTCACTATAATAGGTAATCTATTAATTCTATATGTTATAATTTGCCAACGTACATTACATAAATCTAAATATTACTATATTGCATCATTGGCATTTGCTGATCTCTTAGTCGGATTAATTGGAATGCCGTTCTCATTTATATTTGAAATGACAGATGATGAGTACTGGTTGTTCGCACGACATCTGAGTTCTTTATGCGATTTTTTTTATTCCATGGATGCATTCGGAACAACAGCATCAATATTTGGACTGTCTGCTATTGGAATAGATCGATACGTAGCTATTACAAGGCCAATGGAATATTCAAATTCATTCATATCAAAAAGATGGTATTATGTGTTGTCATTTATATGGATATGTTCAGCTGTTACATCAGTTCCACCAGTAATTTTTATTGGAAGAGAACAAGTATCTACTCGTACGTAAAAGAGAATTTTTTTTTGTGTTTAATATCGAGATTATTGTGCATTTATCTCATTAGTCTTTGCATTATCTAAGTCTCCATATGCATCAATGAAATACAAACAAATCTTGGACAATTTGTACGAATAAGCTTTAATTCTACAAGGAGTCTGAAAATTTTTCTCGAATATGAATGTATATAATTGGTAAAGATTAAATTTCTTGCCTAGAACTATATAGTTGCTAAATAATTGAGATGGGTAATTTATATCTCTCATTTATATTATAATGTTGAGTGTCCGTCTAGTCCCTCTAAGTGAACAAGTACCTATCGTAGTAATGAATCATCATAGAGACTTGATATTTATCTCTTAGAAAGGCCAAAGTGTCTACTACAAGACTGTGTAAAAATATTCGATTTCAGAATGTTTATGAACGACCCAGAAGTCTTAAGAACAAGTTGAACTGAAAAAGTACATTTCAATTCGTTGAATTTACAATAAAATTCTATCCACTCAGAAAGTTGGTCTTATTCTTTGACATTCTATCAGATTTTTTTAGTACTACGGTCGAGTATCGTAACCATACAAAAATAAAGTTTTCAAATGATCGGTTGAGTCCGAAATCAAGATTTTTCTTGACATTCTCTGTTTGTAAAACTTTTTCGTGCTAAATAAATGTCTTCGAAAAAACAAGATTTCTTCCAACATCCAAGTTAATAGAAATCATCTTATTTATATACAATTAATATTTATTAAGTCTCCTAACAAAACACATTACATCAAACAGAATACAGTTTCTTTGTTAGATATTATGAGAAAAACTATATGGGAGGTTGCAGACAGAAAATCAAGTTTTTAATAAACATGTTTTTTTTTCTAAAGTTTGTAGTTTCGTTACTAAAATAATTTGATGTGATGAAAAAGTCCACTTTACATTTATCAGACCTACACATACCTTATCCTTAATTTGAGTGAAGTCGAAAGAAATTTTTTTAGTATAATTTATTCGTAAGATTCTTTAGTTTTTGGTAAACATTTGGAATCAAATATTTTTACACGATTTTGTAGTAGACCTTTTTGCTTCTTCTAACAAAGATCAAATCTGTATAATGATTTGTCACTACGATATATTGAAAAGAAAATGTATGCAGAATTTTCGTCTCAATGGTTACAAGAGGTTGATGCTATGGTGTTTATATTTTTATCGAGATCATATCACTAAAGTTTATTGTTATATCAGGTTTAGAACGATCAAATAAATCAAACGCGACAATAATTAAAACGTTGTTACCATTAGACGAATGTAACGTTCCAACCGATCCTTATTATATATTATTCATATGCATTGCATCATTTTATCTACCTTTAATCATTATGATTTACGTCTATATTCAAATGTATTTGGCAGCTAAAAAACAAACTCGAGCACTTCGTTCGGGCTACAAGTATCACTCTTCTATACAATCTACAACGTCATCTATTACGAAAGTTCCTTTGAGACAAATGTTCTCTGATAGAAGATTCCAAATTGAAGAAAGAGCGGAAATCTCGGATGACAATGCACATGAAAAATCAGAGATGTTATTACAAAAGCGTAGACCATCATATGAATTATTAACTCTTCGTATTCATCATGGTACATATAAAAACCCAAATATAGAAGAGTTCAATCAGAATAACGAACATAACCCAAAATCTTTGAATAAATTTTCAAGAAAATATGAACAAAAAAAAAAATTTTGGCAACAAATTACGAAAAATCAAAAAGCAGGAAAATTCGTCGGTACTATTATGGGTGTATTTATTGTTTGTTGGTTACCATTTCATGTTTATTTTCTATTGAGTGGTGTTTTTGGTTTGCGTTTAAAAGATGAACAAAATCATGAATTATTATTCTACATATTTTCATGGTTAGGATATACAAATTCTGCATTGGATGTTCTTATTTATTCCTTGGCTTCCAACGAACTAAGAACTTTATTCATGAAATTATTTTGTTAGAGATGTTATTCGACATAAATAAAATAAATTGTCATTCTATGTAGATATTATGTCAATAGAAGATTTCTAATAATAAATACACGATATATTTTAATGATCTCTTTTGATTATTCGATTTAAACGATGTTTATTCAAAATTTCGACAATTTGTATAAAAAAACAATGTTACTTATTTTACTTTCAATTAGACTAAGTCCAAATGTTGGAAAATAACCTGATATATCAAGTATTTTCTGAATATCATATCTTCATTCATATGAATAGAAATAAGAAAGTATCATAACTAACAGTCGTCGATCAATGGAGTAGAAATCCTCTCGAGTCAATCGACAAAAGTCACCTATAACTTTGATCATTTTCGATTCAATTTTTTTTCTTTGTTGTTAAGTCTGAGCAGGTAAATATTTTGGAAACTATCAATCTTGGGTGTGAGTATGGATGTTGACCTGATCCACACCCACACAGCACATCCCATCTAGATCGAAGATGCTTACGCCCTGCTCTTCTACAAGATCAAATTACTTTTCTCTATAGGAATCCTAGGAATTCCATCGGTTTTTTCTTCATCGAAATATGATCAAATCACAAGTGTTTGAATGTCTGACTCAAATTTTTGAAATCAGCTATTGATCTGTTTTTCACCATAGTTGATGACTACTTAAAGATTGAATACCGCAGACTTTAACTGTATCTATTATTGGATTTTTTATGAGAAAAAAAATTTATAGTCTCCTCTATTATGGAGATAAAAATCAGCCCGATCGATTAAACCAGAATGGAAATAATGAATTTTCCTATCATAAAGATATTTTTAGGGTGTGGATGCCGAAAAGCTAGACACCCCACAACGTAACCCTATAGTCACATCCTCCACAAGTGAAAATTCTTTTGGAAAAACTGAAGCGAATAAATGTAAGACAAGATCCCAGGTACAAAATAATAGTATTAAAATATCATCTTGAATGGTGGCAGATTTCTACTCTTATCGTGCGGGATCCTTTGTAGAATACTTCTGAAGAACATATAATAATATGTTATTTCTTTTGTATCTTCTATTACAGCGTCAATTTTAAGTGAATGATGATTATGGCACATCATTCTCATATTGTGTTAACCATCTCATATAATATTTTATTCGTATTAAATGATAAGTAGATGCTATTCCTTCAATATTGATCATATCGAATCACTAGAGAACAAATTGATTTCTTGACTTTTTCGATTCCTTTGATTTCTAATGATTTCTTTATCACTAGAAATCAGTTTTTATCTATTGACCATGAATCAATAGGAATCATTGGACATGTTTAGAAATGAAAGAAAATCATTAGAAATCGGAGCTTTACTTTTAATCATTTTTTTCTTATTATGATAACATTAATTTAAAAAAAATGATTCATAGCTTGATCTATCATTTGAATTTCATTTGTAGATCTGATTCAACACTCCAAAAAGAAAACGGACGAATCATAATTCAAATTGAAACACAACTTCATATTTTTATTTTTATTTTTTTATTTTAGTTCAAACAAAACAAAACACAATATGAAATAAGTTTTAATAAATATCGTTAGAAGTTTATGATTAATTTTTATTGTTTATGCCACTGTTCGTACAACATTTGTTGCTCGACCATTTATTCTTCTCATCAAAGAAGTTTTCAAAGGTTCTGTAATTTCTAAAATAGCAATCAAGACAAATACCAATGATGCATTGATAAATATAAAAACAATACGAAAATGATATTTTGGTGCACTTTTAAAGAATGACACAATAATAAGAGTTTGATAAGGTAAACCAAGTGCTATTAAAATGGATACAAGTGAAATTATACGTCGAATCATTTTTAGTTCTCGTTGAGCATGAAATAATCTATTAACTGGAGTTACATGTTTACTCATCTCGCGTACATATCGAACCATTTTTAAATAGATTAATACTATACTTATCATAGGAAATAGATAGATATAAAATGCATTGAATATTGTTACAAACGAAAATCCAGGAGGTATTTGACATAATTGATCATCAACAAGATATTTTATTTGACCAGTAAACACTAATGGAATAGGATAAATAATACAACATATCCATGTGAAACTTATGAGAAAAACTTGAAATTTAACTGATTGATAGAATAATCCCAATGGATTAACAATCAAGATATATCGATAGATTGCTTGTAATAAATAAGAATAATTTTGTAGTCCAATTGACATATAACCTATGTAAGCCGTTATAAGACAAAATGAATCGTAGAAGTAAATTTGTTTAAGATCATTGTGAAATGTAAATAGAGTTACAGCAAGTAAATAAATTCCAAATATAAATTCAGCTAAACAAGAATTCACAACAAGTATCATTCCAACTTTACGATATACTTTATCAAAAATAATTATAAATAAAAATATTAGAGCAAGTATAACAGCAGAGACACAACATATCATATTTAAAATATCAATAGGAATAAACCATGATTGAAAATCTATCGTAGTTGAGTTATTTTGGAGCGTCATTGTTCCTATTAGAGAAAAAAAAAGAAAAAATTCTAGTTTTGTTTGGAAGAACTTAGAATTCGACTAGAACTATACTGATATATATATATATCCATACTATTCAAAAACTAGACAGCATAAACATGAAAAAATTTACTTGTACAAGAACTTTATCAACGTGTTTCTAAGTAAAACTGTCGATTTATCATTTAATTATCGATGTAATTTATTGTTTATAATAAACTTTTCTAATAGCTATGAGAGATAAAATCATCTTATTGAATAGACTGGCGATTAACTTTTTATGCTATTTTTATTTTAATTATCTAGATAGGCGAAAAACAACGAAAGTCACAAAAGTTTGTCTTTTTGGGACGTTATTTCTAAGCAAACGGAGCGTCTTCGAAAAGATTTAAAAAAATGGATCGTAAAACTTTCACCAAGCGTTGAAATAATTATTGTCTGAATTTCCATTTTCAAGATCAACGAGAGAGAACGTTACAACTTGTGATGCGTATGTCAAGAAAGTAAAAAAAAAAAAACAAGAAAATTAACAAAATCGTGTAGTACTGTATAAGTGTTGTACTTCATAACTTATTAAAAATGCCAAGAAAGATAGTTAACTATTGTAGGTTAGAAAATAGAACAAGAGACAAAAGCGGAACACTCGGAAGATGTCTAATTGCATCGTCCAATTATCTGTAAATAAAAACTTGTATTCAGTATTCTGTCATTAAAAAAAATGACGACTTTACATACTATAATATTTAAGAGAAGTTTTATAATAAAGATGACACAAAAGCAAACTATGTCCTTAACTGATGATCGCTGATCTGATTAGTTTTTACATATGTTATAAGAAGCAAGTATTTGATGAATCGCTATGAAAGTCGTTTAAAAAAGTATTGTTGCATTCTCTAGATATAGAAATTTTTCTGACAGAACTATCGCTAAGAAAATACATTTCTTGTAAATATCTTGCACTTCTTGTGAGACCGATATATCATGAGGAACATGTTCATTTGACCTGAAGCCTTTATTTTGAATAAGTTTTCGGCTCAGCTATTTCTCATTAAAAATAAATTTACATGAATGAATTGTTGATGAGTTTACTTATACTGTCACATATATGAAAAAATTACTATTCTTCAGTATTTTGTTCATATACATATCTCATTTGTAGATTACGTTAAAAAGCTGAAGCGTCAGTCAGATAGAAATCTTATTGAATACTTATTTTAAAAAAAATTTCAGCTCTCTAGATACAAAATTAGCTTATATGAAGACAAGAGATAATCCCTAATCGAATGCTTTTTATATATGAGCGTAGAGTATTCGTATCCGTCTTTGCAATGACATATTATTGAATAATATCGTCTCTGGTAATAATAGAAATATAAACATGAGAATGTGAGAATAAACTTTTTGCAATTGATCAATGTGCTTTTTTTTTGTAATAAAGTGTCGAACAATTCTATATGAAAAATAGCATAATAGAAACCAATAATTATTTATCTTATTCGTTTATTCAGTACTCATCACGATCCACTGATTACATCTTTAACCAAGCATGCAGTCAGTCATCGGATTGAAATGGATAAAATATATGAAAATATCGCGTACAAAGCGAAATACAGGAAATAAAAATTGTATTTTGAACCATTGATGTATTATTTAATAATCGCGCTTTACTTCAAAAAGACGAAACTAAATTCGCTGATGTATAGTCCATTGAAAGTATACAGGGAAATGAAGATATTATCTAATAGTATGTCACTTGAAAGGTTGATACAAATACTCAAGGTTTATATATAGTGGAACAATCTGCAAGTATTAACAGCAGACCCCATGTATAAATCACGATCAACTTCGTTTAATCGAGGTTCTTACACCTTGCTCACTTTAAGATATGTTGTTGAGGTAAGAATTTTATGAATTTTTGCGCAAGCCATTTAAAAAGTATTGAACCTTCGATTTTTAATGATGTTTTTTTTCAAAAGCCCTAAACTTGTAGATTCTTGAAAAAGAGGAGTTTGACGCTCGAGCTGAAATTTTGCGTGTATGCATACATATCAATGATTTCTGCTCACAACAAAATTTTCAGTTGAAACGTTTTTGAATCTTTGGTATTCTATAGATTTCAAATATATAGGCAAAATGCACAATTGTCAGCAAATTTCGAGCTTCATGTAAGATCCTTAATTGCTTTCTTTCCTATTTAAGCTGTTGATATTTTTATTAAAACAAAGCAATCGATCATTGGTTTTCGACTATATTCTTGCAGATGCGTTACGTCGAGATTTCAAAATTTGAATGCTGATCTTATAAACACAAATGTATTTCGTTTAATCAGAGAAATATCAATGTCAACACGTAACTTAACACCAATGAATAAAATCAATCACAAAAAAAAAAACAATTTTAATTGTATTAGAAAATTTCAAAAATTTTTACTTAGTCAAACTCAAATACAATACTTTTATTTATTGATTATGGTATGATAGAATTTAACAAATTGATAAATATAAAAGATGTGAATGAAAAAAAGATTCATATTCACACATATCCCTCAGCTACAACCTTACGTATCATTAGTCGAAGAAAGAAGATCTTTTGTATGTGTATTAATATTTCTTTTTTATCATCCAATTCTAATAATCTCAGAATATACTTAAGAGAAAATGTGAAGTTCAGTCAGCTTTCTACAGAGCTTAGAACGTTATCGAAATGTGTTTATTGTAATTTTTCTTTGTTTTTTTTTCTTTGCAAATCATATTGGTCTGAAATAGAGTCTTGTGTTAACACGACGATTGAACGAAATCAACATTGTCGCTAATACTTGCTTCTCTTCGAGAAGAATTAGAAACTCTTCATTGCAACAGTTCCATTTTAGATTTAAAACTTGATGATGCACTTGCGAAGAAATTCGACGATTGCGTAGTAGTCAAAAAACAAATATGAAACAGGAAATTTATTCAATTAGGTCATGTACAGCAAGCGTAACACATCCAACAGCACATTTCGGCAATAAAATTAATTTTTTTTAAAATCTTGTGGGACAATGAAGAACGAATTTCACGTAACGTCAAACAGCGCAAATAACTGATATGAGATATCGGTATGTGTTGCTATCTTTTCTATCCTACACTTTTACCTTTGTAGACACCCTCACTCGCCCATTGGTGGTTTCGAATGAGGTCATTTTTTCTCGAGTTACATCAATGTGTTGACAAAGTATGTCAAAAATTTCTCCTTTTCCATTTTATCCATCAGCACATCTAGAATTCATTTGAATTGTTTCACTATAAAATTTTGTTTATCTATCATTTTTCACATTCCGATGTCGAATAACAATGATTTTGAAAAAAGTCTTTGCAAAATTTGAATTCTTCTTTCAATAAAAATGGTGAGGGCGTTGATCTGATTCACACCCACATCCATCCTTATTTTTTTAACATTGTATATTTCGAAAATAGAAGTAATTGTTTTAATTGAAAATTTTAGGATGAACAGATCTACTTCTAAACAAAATTTTTGATAAAAAGTCTTTTATTAAATTTTTTCTACAAAGATCCTATCCGATTATGAAAATCCAGCGAAAATAACATTTTAAGAAATTATATATCTTCTGCAAGCAAAGAGAAATTCAATTTTCTCAAGTTGATCTAATTGTAGGCAACGTCTAATATTCATAAAAGAAGAATCTTATGAGAGTTTCATAATAACCAAAATTTGATTTAATCTTAATAAGAAGAAAACGAAATGAACAAAATACAAATTAAAAATATAAGATGAATACAACAATTATCTGACGAAAAAGAAAAATTATCTTAAATATGTACATAATCATTTTAGATGTGTTTTGAAAAATAATTATCAATACCATTTGTTTGTTGCGGTGTTGTATTAAATTTTCTTTTTTGTCGTTTAGCTGGTGGTGTTACTTTTGATTGAGTTAAATTAATACTAAGAAAATAAACAAGAAGAATTATATTGGTTAAAAAAAAAGGAGAAAATATCTTAAATGATACCGTTTATTATAATTTGTTTGAGGTGATGTTTGTTGATCTTGTTCTTTAATTGTTGTTCGAATCATTTCACCATTTAAACATAAATCAATATGTTTATTTATTTTATCATTATCACCTAAAAGCATTTTTTGACATACAGGACATGTTGTTGTACTTGTATTAGAATTTTCATCATCAATATGAATTAATTTAGAATTACAATCTTCATTATATTGATTTTCAATTGATAGAAATTCTTCATTCAAATTTTCTTCTTCTCCCTCATCATCATCATCATCATCATCATCAATATCTTCAATTATATCATGTGTATTTTCATTGATTGTTGTTGTTGTTGTTGTAGATTTTTTTGAAAAAAATTGGAGAATTGGTAAATCAGAACTTTTCATTTTCAAATCAGATACTCGTACACCTAAAAATCAACGAATAAATATAAATTTATATATAGATGAACAATGAATTGAATCGTATCATGATAAACAATCTTTAATACCTGCATTATTATTACGTAGAACTTACCAGAAGTTTTCATATATAAAATCTCTGAGAATACATTTCTATCTAAGATTATTGATTAAACTCGAGTTTTCAATGTGATCTACTGCATTATAATTAAACTTCGATTCTATACACATCATAAATCAGATGTAGAAGTTTTAGAAAATCATTTGATGATCATATTAGTCAATTTATATGAAAAGAAATGGGGATTATATATCAGCTTGTTCGACTAGTGGTTAAAGTTGCACATTGAAATTCTCGAATGTGAAATGATCGATCAAATTTATGTAAAGTTTTTAGGCAGGTTTTGCTGCATTCTGTATCGACCTATGTAATTTGTGTTTAATAAGTACAAACTTATGTCTAGAGATGTTAACCAATAAGTTGAGATTCCATCACTATCGTACTTTACTTTTTTAC